TTTATTGACAATGTTGCACTGACAAGAACACTGAGGTCTACAGACAATGAACAATGAAATAATTTTGCAGCTCCCATAGTGCAAATAAATCAGAACATTAAAAAAGATAAAATACTAAGGTAAAAATAGTATAAAAAATTAAATGAGAATAAAAAAATGTAAAAACAACAGTAAAACAACTTACAAAATCTGCTGATTTTCGATGATGCATCTGGAACACTGTTAAAAGAAGCCAAGACAAGAGAAGATAAAACTTTATTGATCCCACAGTGGGGGTATTTTCACATTACTGCATCTCAATACAGGAGAGGGTGAGATAGAATAAAGAAAGATAAGTAAAAGAAAAAGAAAAACAAAAAGCGCTCGTGATATGTAACAATGTACATTTACATAGTACAGTAAATAATTATGTATATGAAGGTGCATAGAAAATAAATGCGAAATAATTTCCAGATCTGAATTCCGACTTTTAAAATAAATGGAACATATGTCAAGAAAGACCACAACACACAACAGAACTGCAAATACAAACAAAACATACAAAAAAGTGAATTACATAACAAAATCCAGAAGATGGCCTCCAGAAACATCTACATGAAAGAACCCAAACTGTAAAAGTCAGAACATGAGAAACCTAGACGGAAAACAAGCCTTTGACAAAAAGAGTATGTGGCTGACACTGAAAACCTAACAGTGCCTAAAGAAAGCTGGACGGCATCAACAGAGGGGCAGCACAAGAACATGAGCTCAACACAAAAGAGAAAGACCCTTAATACCAGCCGACAGGACCACAGGTAAGCACTGAGTAAAAATGCTTTTCAAACACTCCAACATGATATCAGGGTGTAAGAAACTGAGAAGAACAACATAAATTGAAATCTTTAAAGCCTTAAAAGTGGTTTTAAGGAACGTCAGTGCCAAGTATGAACTGGAAAACACGAAGTCAAAATGGAAGAAAACTACCAAGTTTGTTGAATACAACAAAACTAAAAACCTGTCAAACTTTTAAATCCTAACTGATAAAATGTGACCCATCACATTGAAATGAGGATTAAGTCAAATTTGTTCAAAATGACCTCATCATATTTTCAGATTCCCGGCTTTAAAAGCTACATTTTGATACTTAGATCATCCTGATATCATTAATAGATCCAGGGATGTTTTTTAATTTATCTTGTTGGTTACCATAATGCATAAATATTTGGTTTAAATCCTAATTTTGTGTAATTTTAATTAGGATTGTTTTATATTTGTAAAAAGAAACCTCATATAGTATTTGAATATTGAAATTTCCCAGCTAGAAATAAAAAAATTTTTTGCAAGCTCACAGTGAAAATCTCAATATTTTAAGGCATTTTTTCCTCAAAATCGGGTTTTTGGTTGCTACTGCTAAAAAAGTGCTTAAAATTTTTTTAGGATAATATTTCAGACAGTTCATTGATAAAACATTTATATTTTGTCAAAATGTTTTTTTGCAAGCAATTTAATCAAAACACTATATCTGCCTATTTCTCCACATACAACTTTTTCGACTTAATCCTCGTTTCGATGTGATGGGTCACAAATTATGACAGCTGATGGGAAATATTAAATGTAAAGTGTGTGAGTGAGTGAGTGAGTTTCACCTTTTTACCAGCAGATGGCGAGAGTCACATTTGTTGTGACATGACTAAGATTCTATGTCATGATCACTACATACATATTTCTCCAAAATCTCTTTGGGTCAAAGTGAAAGCCTTGATTCTGAGTTTAATAAAACTCCTTCTATCAAGTTAGTCACAACCTGCCTGTCAGCTGTTTTCAGAGTACAGTGTATAGTCAAGTATGTAAGTGTAACTCCAAACATATGAACGGGCCAAGGTAGCCCCCTGTCCCCCTCAGAATTTTGGGAAACCTTTGTCCAATGTGAAAACCTAAGATTTCAAGAACTGGAGAGAATACTACAGTACATCTATCTGATATCCCTCACCTTCATCTGAACCTACTCAAAACCTGGTGATGGACAGTTGCCAGCTCAGCTCCTTTCTTTACCCAAGCATTCCAGACACCTGGTCACAGATCTGATGACATCATTGCTAACTCAGAACTCGGAAGCTGTCAAAGACATACATAGACATGTTTAATGGGTAAAAAAAAAGACAATCAAATCTTACACTGTGGTGGGAACAAGCCATGGCAATGCATGGTAGAGAATGCCTTGCATGGACCATGTTGCAAACCCTGTCACTACTAGCACTACTTTTAGACTAGGAGTGCCCTGGTTTGGATTCATACCTAAAAAACGGCTTATCTGGGCTCGATCAGTTTAGTTGGCAAAATTAATAAACAAATAAATTTTAAAAAAGGACCAAGGATCAATATTTTACTTGTAAACATTTTACAACATTATTTGGAATAATGAATAGATAGTACCTCTGATGATTTGTTTTGGCTATGGCTGATCATGAGCCAACCATTTTGATGATTTGGGGAACTTAACAAAGAAAACTTGAGAGAAAACAGCAAAGTAACACTTTGGAAACAGATCAGGTGATTCTCTCACTGAAACAGCACAAATCTCAGGGTTGTTGAACTTTTAGAAAAGGTAATGATAGTTTTCACTATCATTTTTCTTCAGTTTGAAACTATTACTTCTGTTGCAGGTAGTTAAACAGTAAGTGAATTGGACACATGCTGTGTAATGTTTTGTTGATTACGCAAAACTGTTGGGAGGTTGAGCAGGTCGCAGACGCACAGAGAACAACAACACAAACGAAAACCAAGAGGAAACTAATTAAAGTCTCATGTCAACAGTGATCTCAGGTGTGTAATTAGTGTGCATGTGTCTTTGAGTACACCTCAGGGAACTCTCAATTTAACGCACTCTTATGCAATATTGTATTGTTGAACTTTTGTCCAAACTTTTCTTTTATATCATTTTAAAGACCTTCTTTGCACTGGTGCAGAGTTTGAATGCATTGCAATGTTTGACCTTTCTTGGATAGTGTGTTTGAAAGTTGTATTTTTTGTCCACATTTTTAAAAAAATCTAATATTTTAGGTTGTGCAATAAAATATTCAATACAAGTTAATTAGTTAACATCATAATTGTTATTATTACTACAAACATAGTACACATATTTGACACTTTTATGATTTTCTTTTATTCTTTTAAAAAAACGTTGAATCCACTAAAGGTGAACAGTGCAGACATGCTTTGTCCAACGGGTCCCCAGGGTTCACAGTTTGTGTTAGAAAAATCCACACAGGTAAATTAAATCAGCTTTGAGACTTTTATTAAACACCAGGGATATAAACACTTCTTCCTCAGTAATAATTTGACTGCTCGTTGGGGCTTTGTTAAAGCTCTTGTTTACTCCTTTAGGATTTTTAATCAATTAGCTTTACTAAATCTGGGCTCCTTTATTAAAGTTTAATAAAGTATGGTTGGTTTGTCTTTTTCATATGCAATCTCAAAAACAAATAAAATAAAAACAAATAAAAAAAATTAAAACTAAAAGCGTTAAATGTGATGATAAAGTGATATAATTTATATATTTTATTAATATTTGAACATGTGAAATCCTCATGATTGCTGCCAACCACTCAAGTTGTTTCACTTCTTGACCCAGAAATTAAGCTGAGAAAAGTTTGAGATGTGATGCCAACAACTCATTGATTTTTGTGAGAAGAATCGTTGCTCAAATATCTTGAAAATTTGGCAACTTTCTTTGAAAAAGACTGAAACCCTGCTTCTGAAATTGAGAACTCAAATATTTTAGGTTTCTTAATGGAAATGCCATTAGGTTACTTTATAAACAGAATGCACTGCATAAATAAAGTTTAACTTTGAACTATTTTGGAAACTTCTTCACTAAAATTGGTGTTTTGTCATCTCAGTTACTGTCCACTCCGTTGCTACAGTACCTGTAGGCAGCCGATACAG